AGTGGAGTTAGACAACCAAAGCGAAGCGGGCCAGAGCTTTCTGCTGGGCTGGTGTGTAAATGAAGTTCGGCTTGAGCTTTGCTGTGTATATGACATCGAAGTATATGAATACTTACATATATAGTGCAGCAAGACTACAGGGACTACAGAGAAAGAAGAGAAAGAAGGAGAAAGAGTTGAGAGCAATTTGCAGCCTGTCCCAGGACAGAACATGATGCTCTTTTTTTCAGCTCTTTGTTTCGCACTGCAACGAATGTGCCGCCGCCGAGAATGAAGGAGGCCTGGGAGCATGCTTTGTCAGGTCAGTGTCACAATGCATGAACGGAGATCAATGTCTCTATGCACGCAGGGAGTGCACGGCCCACTGTTTTTTTTCTTGGCAGGCCCGCAGAGTGTCCTCGACTAGGTCGACAGCCATGCGGCTTAGGCAAGAGTGCACGCCCACATGCAACGAGGATGCTGTCCTTCTGCCGGCCAGCCATCAATCTGCACCCGGAACACAGCAACGGCCCAGCTGTGCCGTGTCTCCGTCGTCAGCACCTCGGCCAGTCGTTGTGCCAAGGCCAGCGCCTTCTCCTCTCGCACAAAGGACACACTGAAGTTGCGGCAGAAATAAAGGCTCTGGGGGCTCTTTGCCATAATGACCAGGTGGTCGTGTTGACGTGTTCGTCGTCGTCGCTGCCACCATCGCACTCTGCCTGGCATTCGGCCTGCCATAGCGACTTGGCCACCCACCGACTGCTTTTTATTTGCAGACTCGAGACGGCTGCACCCAAGAAGGATAAACGTCTGAAGTGTCACTTGCCATAAGGGCTTGTGCATCCACATACCACGGTTGAAGCAGTGCCGCAGTGCCAGCACACTCACTTTTACCGCACTCATTGGCACAACTTGGCACGGTCCTTCCGCAAAGTAACCCTCCAGTGGCCACGGCTTCCGTGGAACGTTCAAGGGACCGGGATGAAGCGAAGCTTCTGTTTCAAAGACTTTCTGACTGCTCCATCAAGTGTCTTGGATCCACCACCCTTGTGAAACCTCTTGGAACGCAGGGTTCGTTTGGATTTCGTGAATTTCAGCTTCTTTGCAGATCCAAAGAACTCGGCCCATATTCCTTGGAAAGCAATGCGTGTATGTGCATGCGCCAACTAGTTTGGGGCAGGCGGTGAAAGGGATTTCGAGTGGAAATTGTTGAAGCCCAGAGGCTGTGGATGAATTCGTCATCGTTTCCCATCCCGCTGAAGCCAAAGTCTCGGAGTCCTTAGCCGAAGGCGGGTCCAGGTTTGTAATGTCATGCTGTGCGACCAACGATGGATTTGAACCTAGCAACCCACCATCTGCGACACTGCTGCGACAGAATCGCTCGGCCGTCCTAGTCGGCCAGCCACGCTGGCAATGGACTCGGCACTCGCCTCCGAAAGGCTCCAGGAACCTGCATGCGAAGTCGTAGGAAAACGTCTGATCTTACGGCAGGCTTTAAAGCGAGTCATGCATGGCGAACATGTGGCAGTGCTGCCTGTGAAATGAAAGAGGAAGAACGCCGCATCCGTGCCCTCAGGCTTGAACTCAGGTTCCGTATGAGTGAGTCTCCATAGCTCGTTAAACCACGGAAGCCATGCATGTCTCGCCGGCGCCTCTTTCAGGGGAGAAAAGAAACCATGCCACGATTGATCATGCTTTCGTCTCGTCCATGTGCTGGTCTGCTTTGGGCTCAGCTAGAGAATCCCTGCCTCATGGACTGGCAGCTTGGCGCAGGGCAGTGGCTTTTGCAACAACGCCTTCCAGTGGCGAAGCAATGTAAGATATTGAGTCGCCAGTTCCACGTCATCCACTGCACTCCAAGCGAACATGGTGATCCGCTTGGCAACATACCTCATGCATGTAAAGCTGAAAAGCGACAGAGGCGGCCGAAATTCAAAGATGCCGCAAGCATGCCTGAATGTAATACAAGACACTCTCGTAGTTGCAGCAGGGAGTAGAGCCAGGGAAACGGCAGATCGAATGGATGATCAGGAACCTCGCCAAACAGTATGCCCGGCAGCCAGAAGACTGCCGTGGCAGCCTCACGGATGGCAAGAGGGATGTGGTTGCCACCAGAATTCAGTACTTTGCCTTCGTATTGCAATGCCAGGGCGTTGAACAGGCGCTGCTCAAGCTTCATGCTCTTGCAAACTTGAGCTGCCATGTCCTTCCCTTGAGAGGCACTCCATGGATGTTGGCCAAAAGCCTGGGGTCGAACTCCCAGCGGGGTAATTCATCTAGTTCTCTCGCCAAGGTCATGTTTTTGCATGCCACACATAAGTAGATTAGAACCAAGCCGCAACTCCGTGCAGCGAAGTCCCTGTGAAGACAAGCTTCGCCCACAAAGTCCAAAGCTCAGGCCACCAGCGGCGCACTTGCGACGGCAGCACCGCCTGAAGCAGCGAAGAAACAAGAGCAGGTTGCAGCTCCTGAGTCCTCAACCCTAGAGTCCTAGAGTTGCCGTCAACATATTTCTGTCCCAGGTACCCACAGGCATGGCCAGGCAACTGGTTGCAAAAACTCGAGAAGCTTCCACTGCAAAGCCAACCAGCCAGCATTGACACACAAGGGCAATCTCTCATGTTCCTCCTCGAAGCACTGCTTCCAGAAGAACGAGTCAGGGAGCGGGGACAAGGGTTCCGGAAGCCTCCGGGATACATGTTCGACCGTTGCACGACTCTGAAGATGAGAAGCAAGATGATTAGAGGCACTTCTCTTGTCAGCGAACAGCAAGCCACACCGAGAGCAACGAAAGCACGCTGTTCGCTTGTCTTTCCTTGCGGCTGTCTTCGCATAGCACAGAGGGAATCGACCACCGAAGATGCACAGCTGCAGGTATTGTGCACCCACTGTCATCTGCATGGGGAAGAAAGTGGTATCAGTCGTCTGAATCACTTTCGCACAGGTCACCTTCAGCAAAGCTGCCACAGGCATCTCCACTTTTAATGTCATTAACTTCTAGGAGAGAGAAAGTTTTGCACCCCTTACTCTCTTTCAATTCTTTCGACGCCAGTCACATAACCTTTTGTGCGAAGAAACATGCCGGCAGTCATCCACGCCAAAAGGTATGGAGCTGGATCCAGGAACACAGTCAGAAGGACCTTGCACACGTCCTGCTTGGCTCCGTTGTCCTTGCCTGGCCTCTCGGACAGGGCGGCGATGGCGTCCTGCAGTGCAGCACACCGCACTTGGTGCTGGACAAAGCTCTGCTGCAGAAACGCAGCCGAATACACCACCATTCTCGTGGGGCCCGGCCCGTTCGAGGACAACTGCCGATGCGGCCGAGGGCTTCGGTGAAGTGCCGCAACCTCAGCTGGGTCGGAAAGCTGGAAATAACTACGATTCTGGCAACCAGGAGGTGCACCATCCAAGCCACGTGGCAAGATTCCTCTCCTGAATTTTGCTCGGAACTTTCTGCAAGCATCGATCCAGACGACGAGAGGCTGGAAGGCGAACTCTTCCGGGGTCTCTGTGTTGACGAAAAGAACTTTGTAGCCGTCTTCGACGGAGGACATCTTCAGGCGACCGGATGTCATTCTAGCGTACCAGGCGCTCTCTGCAGCTGTGTTGAAACAGTGAAACCCGTCGGCCAGTGCAATGCGGTCGGAGTCCCCGGGGCGCATGTGTTGCAGGAGGTATTTGTCAGCTGCATTGCCCGTTTGCCCGCAGTAGGCACCTGTTCTCCGACTCCAACTTAATCATCATCTGTCTGAAGTCCCTCCCCCCTAGGAATTAAACGGAGGATGCAACAGAAAACCGACTCTTGACCCAGGAATCGGTCCACAGGAATGCAGCTGATCAGCTGAGAACGCTTCCGGACAGCGGCATCTTCCACCAATGGCAGGGAGCTGGACCTGCAGACAGAAAAGCGGATGACTTCAAGCAGCACAAGCCAGTTGCCCAGTTGCCCAAGCCTCTGTGCATCCAGTGCCTCTTGGAGGCGGAGTTCCCGGTTCAGGCAGTTAAAGACACCTCGGTTGCAGTTTTGCGGCCGTTACAGTGTTTAGGAGCACGTGCCCTTGCAGGAGAATTAGAAGGGAAGCTTCGAAGTTTCCCGATGTGGCACCGGACCGAGACACGTCTGGCCACCTGTGGGCCTTGGTGGCTTGTGCCCAAAGGGACCAAGCCAACCAGCCATCGCGCCCATTGGCCCAGGACGTCTGTGAACACTACCAGCACCTGCTATCAGGAGGTAAGGGATACCTGTTCTAAGTTCTAAGTGCAACTGTAGCGGAAGACCTTTCGAATGAAAACGAGTCATGCTCGCATCCCAGGAGCCGCCACCACGCTCTGGCCGTTCAACAATGTCACACCATCGAAGACGACCCGGAAAGCGGAGGGATGCAACAAGTTCCGAGGACATTCTTGAAATCTGTGCCACAGGCTGGTTCTCCGCACACGCCAGGCCAAGCCTCGGAAGAGTGGCACAAAGTGCCGGCTGTGGTATCTGTGCCCGATGGTCCTCGGTGCCCAGGAAAAGCAGATCCAGTTCTGCAGAGCTAAACCAAGCTAAGTTAAGACTACGGCCGGGGTGCATTTTGCCGAGTTTACAGATGACGAGCAAGGCGGTGAACAACGTCGCTGGCAGGCCATTGGTGATGATAAATATCAAGATCCTCCCTGGCATATAAGATGAAGTAGCAAGATGCTGGCACAGGCTCCAAGCAACAAGGACCACTACCTGAAGCTAAATGAACGGTACTTGCCAGAGCACCCAAGTTCAGGCTGATCGAGTGCTCCTGGGGCGCTCCCCTGGCTGCGGTGAAGAAGACGCCCTCGGCGTCCATGGTTTCAGTGCCCACTTCTGCCTCCGTAATTGGGACGGCGGGGGTATCCATTCCCTCCCAGCTCTGGGCATCCTCATCCTCCAGGACACGTTTCCTCTTCTTACCTGGGATCAGGAGCACTCCAAGTCTCATAAACTCCGGAAGGTGCCTTGCTTTTCCTATCTTGCAGTCTGGACTCGGCCTGGTTTCTTGGGCTGAGCCCAGTCCCCTCGTCGGCATTGTCGAACTGACTTCGGGCTGCAGCCACACACCATCCCGACCAGGACATCCCATCCTCTGCACCATGCAGAAGCGCCAGCTTGCTCATGTGCAGAGTCAAAGTGGTTCTCTGAACTGAGGTCTCAGCGGGAACCGCTCGCAGTTTTCCAAGTCGGCAGATCTGTGTAATTCTCGCCCTGACTTAAGTACTTGTGCCGCAGCATTTTCTCCAGCCTCGGCTTCATGGCATGGTTTCGGAGTTCGGGTGCAGCAAGCTCAGCAGTGCCACAAAAGTTCGACCTAGCGTCTGTTTGTCCACATGAGCCACAAGTTTCCGCTCCTGGATGGTCAAGGACTTGCCCGTGCCGCCCAACGGGGGCTTCTCCTCATCCGCTTTGCTGGCAGCCACGTCATCGACGTCGCCCCAACATTCAGGGCATCCCGGCAACAAGCAGCAGCAGGGCATGCTCTCTTCTGCCCTATCTGCTTTGATGAAAGCAGTGCAGCAGTTGCACTTGGCATTTCAGTTGCAATGGGTTGCATGTCATGCATGATCAAGGAGCAGCCAAGTCTGATAACAGCACTTTTTCAGTGCTGCCTAGGATGCACGGTGTCCGGCAGGAAGATCTCCGGCAACTTCTCGGAAGGCACAAAACGGCAAGACCAAAATGGCCTTGCACTGCCGTCGGGCTTTGAAGATGCCGAGCTGCTCGCTGAGACTGCTCTGGTTCTCGTTGCCTACTCGGCTACTGTGCTTGTGCTAGCAAGTGCAAGTACGATAAGATCCCTCATGAAGCAGCCACAGGGTGATTTACACTAGGCGGCATTTCAGTCTGACCCAGATCCCTTGGACTTCCGCTTCTTCTTCTTCTCGGACCCCGAGTCAGAGCTGGAAGAGCTGGAGGAATCGGAGGACTGCTCTTCAGCCCCCTTGGTTGGGGCCCCGCTTGCAACCTCTTCCTCCTCCTCGGGTGTGCCCAAGTCCTGATGGCATTAAGAAGCTTTCTCCAAACTCATGAGGGGACTGCCAAGTGATGAACTGTCGGCCTCCTCTGCGGTGTTCACCTTGCCCCCGCCGCCGGCCTTCGGCTTTGCCTTCGCTTTGCCTTGGCTGTGTTATACCGAGATTCCTTCTACAGTTTCATCTGAAAATCGGTTTCCGCCCGAGGGCGAATACAACAGAATGGAGCCGAGCTGCGCTTAGCCTTCGCTTTAGGATGCATTTCAACTTCGCCGCCGCCGTCTTTCTGGCCGCCCTTGCCTCTGCGACCGGCCCCCTTTCCATTCTTCACGGGATGATCTGGCCCGTAGTTCACAGCCACCTCCTTGTCTTGCGGCACCTGAGCTTTCCCCCCTCTTTGCTCATCCCCCAGCTCGTTGCAGACCCAGTCTCCACCAGCCCCACCAGAACCCACACCGCAGCACTTCTTGCAGTGCTGTCACTCTGTCACTGACCGCCCCCAACCATCTCCGTCACCGCAGCATTTTGCCCTCCACACTGATCTGGTCCTCTTTGCAGGCACCTCAGCACATCCCTGCCCAGCACTTTCTGCAGTGCTGTTACTTCACACCTCCACCCCCGAGCCTCACTCACAAGGACCCTCTCCACGGATTCCTGACTAAACACCTCTTCCCAGCCTGCAGCACTTTCCGCAGTGAAGTAACTTGGCACCCCCCCTCACCTCGCATACAGCAACGGCTATGAAAAGGCCGCACAATTCAGAATCAGAAGCTGCCCAGGTACGATTGTTGTGGTGACCAGAGAAAGGGATTGCTGGGTCAGGGGGCCGGCGGTGGACAGCTCCAGCTTGCAATTCGGACTCCGCATCAAGCCCCGATAGTCATTCAGAATTCCTTGGGAACAGAGGTTCTCTCTTGCACGAGAATTGTTCGGCACAGATTGCAGGAGGATCTCTACTCCAGAGGAGATTAGTACTCAGGTTGAGGCCGATCATTCCAGTCATGACCTTGTAAACCTTCTTCGGACCTTTCTTTGCATCTGCCACCCAGAGATGAATAATTCGATCACGGAGTTGCAAGGCTTTGGCGGGATCCAGTTCCTGCAACCATGCATTCATGTCATTTTCCGACTCGAACCTGGGCTTCAACTCTGCGCACTCTGCAGACTGCACACTGAGCTCAACTGCACCGAACCATCCGGGGCCCCCACCAGGGTCCCTTGACGGGTATTGTGCATGCAACTGGCAATTCTTCCTTTGCAAAGACACCGTAGCCAAATTTGGACCTGGCCGCCTGGAAGGTAATTCTCCAGAGTAAATGGATTCAGGGGACAACTGATGTACACAGTGCATGGACTCTGCCTGTACGTGGTGTTTCTCCGTCATCATCTGATTTCTGTGCGACATACTCGCCGTGCTTAGGTCGCAGCACGAAAACTTGCCCTCGTTGTCGTCGGAGTCATCGGCCACACTGGAAATCACAACACCGCCAGCCAAGCACGCAGGCTTGTCCTCCAGGACAACAGGACAAGCATGGAAAAACCCCTGAAGACAAAGCTAAGAGTCCTCGCGGTTCCCCGGAATGCTTATGAGCTTCATCTGGGCTGGAGTGGGCACCACTTCGTCGCTGCTGCCAGGGGCCGGAGGGTCCGAGACCGTGCGGGTTCCCAGGGTGCGGAGTGCCTTTTTGGCCAATTCGAAAGGATTGCTGGCCTTTTTCTTTTCTGGAGTCTGAGCCTCTGCTGCAGCTGCAGCTGCCTTCATGCTAGCCTCCCGCCACGAGACCAAGGACTGGAACACGGTTGCAAGTGTGTGGATAGCGCAGTGGTGCGCTTTCGTCCGCACGGTGCCGCCACCTTGCAGCTTCCGCTCGGCCGGAGGCATGAAGCAGAGCAGCTGTATGCTCTGTATAGTGTTCCACTCCTGAGAATCTAGTACAGGCCCAGGCAAGAAGCTTGCTACCAATTCCAGTGCCAACGTCCTAACAAACAAGAGCCTCGTGCAAGACGGGATGCATCAGCGATCTTTGCAACAGCTGTCAGCAGCCCGACTTGGAGCTGGAGGGTGCCCTCGGCTAGTACGAACAGGGTGCAAAATCAGCAGGTTACTGGCAGGCATAAGGCCGGTGCCAGCAGGCAGACACGTCTTGGCATGAAGTGGCGGAGCAACAGCAGCCATAGATCCACACTCGGGCCTGTGGAAGAGTTACTTGGACAGAGATGTCACAGATTTCCTTCTGTTACCGTGCCACTTCCGTGCCGGGCCTTGCTTGTATGCGGAGATCCAGATGCTGGACGTGTGCGGGGCATTGCTTCTGGTTGTGGTTGGAGGGGTCTCCTCAGCACTCTCACCGTCGGCCTCGGCTAGAGGCGGTGTCTGCTGCGAAAAGCCAGAGGACCGGACCCTGCGAGGAAACCCGAAACAGCAATTATCCAGTGATGTTAAATCCTGAAAAAATGTACATATGTTTATTAGAGAAGCTATATATATATATATAGATATATATATATATATAACAACCCTACTCCTGGACCCAAACCTTACATCCTAAGGCTTAAACCCTCAACCCTAAACCCTAATCTTATATCCTCGGGACCAAGGTCTTTAAGGCTTCAGTCCTGTAATATACGGGGCCTTCACAATGAGAATAGGGCTCCGGGTTCCTTTATAGTCTCGTTAGAAGCACAAACCCCACGGTACAGTATTGGTACCCTGAAAGATCCCCGACTCTTCACAATATTGGTACCTAAACCCTTAGCCGTAAAGGCTTCTAGATTATTCTGGGTTTGGCCGTCTTGTCAGGACGTACCAAGCGGACTCCAAAGCAAACCAAACCCCTAAACCCGTAGGTTTAAGCCTATCAAGAAAAAACATGCCGAAGGCATGCTGCAAGGGGACGTCCTCTGGCTCGTTGGCCGCATCTGCATCGCTCTCCTCCATGGCCACTGTCATGCCCAAGAGCTTTTCCTCTTCTGTTAAAACTCTGCGCCGCTTCACCTGGGAGCCACCGATTTTTTCCACCGGGTGCAGGCAGAAAGGCTGTTCCATTGTACAGCCAAGACCTTGAGGGCAGCTTCTCAGCAGCAACTCACCCGTCGGGTATGGTTCGACAGGGCCGACCCAACCCAGGCCATCCACATCGAACTCGGACTTCGGCCCAATGGCGGCCAAGAAGAACTCTGTGTACTTGTTGTCCGGCCTCTTGCCTGGGAGGATGCAAGGGCTTGGACCACAAGCAAACTCACCGAAAGAGACACGTGCCACTGTCGTGGAGACCAGGCCTGGAGCTTGGAGCACGGGGATGCCGTCGAACCACTGGAATTTCTCGAGTATCGGAAACTCTTTTCTCGCAGCGGCTTTGAGCGTCGCCATGGCCTGGCCGGATTCGTGGCCGACGAAAATGAGGACCGCGTCGGTTTCTTTCAGAGCAAGAAGCGGCCTTCAGGTTTCTCATTTCACAATGTCATGCTTGGGTCGGAAAACTCATGCAGCTAGCAGCTAGCAGGAAGTGGAGCTCTATTGCAGGGCCTGCACGTCGCTGTCGAGACCACCTGCTGGCAGCTCTCCTGCTTCTGGCCTCGGTGCTTGCTAGCCGGCGGCAAGAGGTACAACGTCGGTGTTGTAGCATCCCTCAAGGAGTCCGGGAATTGGCTCCACTTGTCCAAGGGCTGGTTGAAAATCAGCAGTGTGTCTTCCAAGGATCCAATCGCCGCATTCTGGATGGCTCTGGCTTTCTCTTGCTCGAGCTTCTGCTTGGCGGCCAGTTCCTCAGCAGCCTTTCTGGCTGCTGCCTCCTTCTGTGCCAGCTGCTCCAGTTCGTGCTTGGACTCTGCCTCACGGAGAGGCTCAGGAGGAAGTGTCATCTCTTCGGTGTCGGTCGGCTTCACCTTCTCGGGCGTCTTCAGCTTCCTCTCCTGCAAAGCCGTTTTCTGCAGGAACAGCTTCTCTTCCAGGATGCCGAAGTCACATGCTTTGTTGAAGGTTCGAAACTCCAACTTCTCCATGCCTTGCAGCAGGGAGGAGGCCGGCTCAATCTAGTGAACTTCCACACACATGAGGAACAAGCTGCAGCATGCCCTGAGAGGCCAACTGGCCACAGATGACCCTTGAATGAGCAATTCCCGGAGGGCCGGCTCGCCATCCATGCAGGCTCTCTTCCGCAGCCTTAGAGACTAGCTCATTCACATAGAATCGGAGTCACAGGAACAAGGCAGCTGCAGCATGATCGAGCAGCATTAGGCCCTGCACTTTGCCAGAGCAGTGTTTCCTCCTGCAACCGCGGCATACCTCTGCTCAATCTTCTCAAAGTAATTCAGAGCAAGCCTTAGTTCTCCGAGTCGCAGACTCCAACTCCGCTTCCCAACGCATGTTCACATGCAAGCAGCAGGTGTGCCCTGCAAAAGTCGCTGAAGAGTTGGTTGTTCAGCGGTGGCCGACGAAATTTCGGCAGATCAGAATCCCTACGAACATCTCCGGCAGCAACGACGGAGCCTCGGAAAAGATACAT